TTTTTGGATCTATTTAGAGATAAGGTCTCGCCAAGTTGCCCAGGCTGGTCTCAAATCTGGGCTTAGGCAGTACTCCTGCCTCAGCCTCCCAAAGTGCTGGGATTACAGACATGAGTCACTACACCCAGCCGGCATTCCTGTTTTGTTCATGCTGTTTCTTCAGTGTCTAGAACAGCAATGGACACAGAGTGGGCACTGCATTAATATTTGTTGAGTGCATGTGTAAGTGTCAGCAGTTCACCTTTTCAGCCTCACTCCCCACGTACTGTGTGGTCCTGGCTCCACAGCCCCCCACAAGATCTTAGACTGTGAGCGAGTTATGTCTGTGCACATTTTGTTCCTTCTGCCTGTACATATTTGGCTCATATCGCCTCGTTCTTTAAGACTCAGCCCTCATCTTCGCCCGTGGGAAGCGCTGCCTTCCCTGGTCTTGGTGAAGTCTCCTCCTCTGTGGTCCCACAGCATCTGTGCATATGCATACCTCTAAAGCAGCATTTCTCGTTTCCTTGCATTTGGTGATTTATGACATCGACTGTGAGCTCTCTGAGGGCAGAAACTTTGACTATGCCCTCTTTGTTCCCCAGCACCTGACCAATACAGAGCACTCTATAAAGTTTCTTTTCTTTCTTTTTTGAGTTAGGGTCTCACCCTGTTGCCCAGGCTGAGTGCAGTGGCACCATCACAACGATCACAGCTCATGGCAGCCTTGACCTCCTGTATGCAGGTGATCCTTCCTCCTCAGCCGCCTAAGTAGCTGGGACTACAGCACAAGCCACCAAACCGGCTAATTTTTTGATTTTTTTGTAGAGACGAGGTTTTGCCATGTTGACCAGGCTGGTCTCAAACTCCTGGGCTCAAGCAATTCTCCCACCTCGGCCTCCCAAAGTGATGGGATTACAGGTGTGAGCCCCTGCACCTGGCAAGCTTCTCGAATTAACATAAACATCTATATCCCATTCAACATCACATTTTGTTCTTTTAAGTCACACATTGCCCTTCATTTAATGGTTTTGGTAATGCTTATTTGAAGCTGCTTAGTGAGTCCAATGATGTTCACTTTCTTATTCATATTTATGTTACTTTGTATGTATATAAAATATCTATATTTGAGTTGGAGTCTCACTGTCTCCCAGGCTGGAGTGCAGTGACACACTCACGGCCACCCCAGTGTCGACCTGCTGGGCTCCGGCGATCCTTCTGTCTCAGCCTTCCAAGTAGCTGGAACTACAGGTGTGTGCTACCATGCCTGGCTAATTTTTTATCTATTGTAGAGATGAGGTCTTGCCAAGTTGCCCAGCTGTTCTTGAACCTGTGGGCTCAGGCAATCTACTCGCCTCAGCCTCCCAAAGTGCTGGGATTACAGGCTGAGCCACCGAGCCCGGCCTGTATAAAATATTTTATTAAAATAATTTAAAAATTATTTTTTGAGGCCTGGACTTATGTGTTAGTCTCTGTGCTAGATTTTAGGGACACAGATATATATATATATATATATATATATATACACACACAGAACCCACCCTCAAGTTGCTTATAATCTAGAGAGAAGGAAAGTTGTAAACATGTGTGGCATTTTTTTTTTTTTGAGTTGGAGTCTCACTCTGTCACCCAGGCTGGAATGCACTGGCACACTTGCAGTCACTACAGACTCGACCTGCTGGGCTAAGGTGATTCTTCTGCCTCAACCTTCCAAGTAGCTGGAACTACAGGCATGCGCCACTATGCCTGGCTAATTTTTTGATTTATTGTAGAGACAGGGTCTTGCCAAGTTGCCCAGGCTGGTCTTGAACCCATGGGCTCGGGTAGTCCTCTCACCTCGACCTCCCAAAGTGTTGGGATTACAGGCGTGAGCCACTGTGCCCGGCCCAAACATATTCTTACAAAGTGCTGTATGTGGTTATCTTGAATGATAACTGAGGAAAATCAAGTAAGGCTTCATGGAGGAGGTGTCCTTTGAGTTGAAAGGAAAGTATGTGCTCAGAGGCATGTAGAATTAGTGCATATTTTTGTGGGGGTGATTCTGTTAAACTGGAGCACAGGTTTCCTTAGGGAAGACGAGAAATGGAAAGGCAAAGTGGGAGCAAATGGTGAAGACAGGCACGGTGAGCAGTCTGCCCTTCGTGTTCCTGCAGGTGACAGGCGGCCATGGAGGTTCTATACATGGAGTGATGTGTCTGGTTTCATTCTTTCTTTTTTTGAGTTGGAGTCTTACTCCGTCACCCAGGCTGGAGGGCAGTGGCACATTCATGGCCACCCCAGCATCGACCTGCCGGGCTCAGGCGATCCTTCCGTTTTAGCCTTCCACATAGCCAGAACTACAGGCGCATGCTACCATGCCTGGCTAATTGTTTTTATTTGCTGTAGAGACGAGATCTGAGCTGGTCTCGAACCTGAGGGCTCAGGTGATCCATTCGCCTCGGCCTCCCAAAGTGCTGGGATTACAGACTGAGCCACCGAGCCTGGTCTCTGGTTTCATTCTTTTACCACCAAATCTGATGTGCGTTCCCATTTGCTGCTGCTTGGCCTGACTTGTCCTTTCGCACTAGAGGCTCTCAGCTTCTGCATGGATGCTGGGAGCCGGGAGGAGAGAAGGGAAAGGACGGTGGAGTCTGAGTCGCCAAATGCCACACAGCAAGGCGGCGACAGAACTAGTGTCGGACCCCAGCTGTCTTCCTCCCTGCCTATGAGTCAATTCTCTTCTCTGAGCCCTCGGCATTGGGGGCTGTGCCTTGGACACTGGGGCAAGCACATCATGAGCAAGGAGAAGACCCCGGGCTTCTGTGGCACCCTCAGCGCAGAGCTGCAGGTTGTCACCAGGAAGTTACACCCAAAGGGCAGAGAAAGGGGCAGCTGGCAACACCACAGATCCACGTTGAGGAGTCTGGCGCGTGACTGGGGACTTCATGGAGGAGGGGAGTGTGAAGCTGGTTTGGAAGTTGAAGCAGAACAGGGCTAGAGAGGGAAGGAGGTGATAGGGAGCCGGGAGCAGTTTTGAAGGAGGGAGAGAACAAAGCTACACTGCAGTCCTTGGATGTGCCCTTCCCACCGTGTGGCTCCCGTGGGCATGTGTGTGTGACTTGGCAGGGGCTGCGGTGGGTGGGGGGCAGAGGGCCTGGGCCCTGCTTGTGTCTCCTTTCCTCCTCTCTTGCACAAGGGGGCCACCCTTCTGGAAGCCAGGATGTGTGGGTCCCAGATTCTTCCCTCCCCAACCTCCCCCAGAAATAAATCACGAATGATTTCATTAAATGCACCTCCTGCTGGGGATGTTGGCTCATAATTCCTCTCTGATTAACCCCCACTACCCCGGCAAGTTTATAGGCCAGGGGAGGGAGGGGGTGAGGGGGAGGGTAAAAGGAGGGATGGGGGAATCCCAGGCGGGTGATGGATGCCTCTGTCAGCCCAGCTCGTATTTATTAATAGTCTTAATACGGGAAGCAATAAAGGAAGAGAGGGATTCTATTAATTAAATCATTGTTATAATTAACTTTCATTAAAGGAGGATCAATAAAGAGGGGTTGAGATGGAGAGAGGAGAGATCCATTATCTCTAATTTCCTTGGAAGGGATTCAGGAACGAGATGGGGTTGCTAGGAGACAGAGACGTGAGGGAAGAAGGAAGGATGTAAGATGTCATCCAGGTGGGGCTGGAAGCAGGGTGGATGGAGGGCTTCAGGTGAATGGAGAGAGGACTGGTGGAATGGTCCACCCAGGGCCCTGAAGGGAGTGCAGGGCGTTGATGAGGGAGCTGCTGGGATGGAGAAAAAGGGGCTGTGGGCATGTGCTCGCGCAAGGCACAGCTGAGAGCCCTGGTGAGCATGCAGGTCCTTGATAAATGCTTTATGATGTTGTGTTTGTGTCTGTCTAGCCCACAAAGCTGGTTACAGTGGATGAAGGTGTTTTTGTGACTGTGGAGTCAGAGTGTGCACACGGTATGTGGAGATGGCAACGGAGAAACAATGAAACAGGAGTGGGAGGATATAAAAAAAGTCCATAGAGGTACAGTGCTTAGCATTTTTTACTAAGTAAATACTCAAAGTTCTCAAAGGTGTGTTTTGTTTTTGTTTTTATTTTTTGAGTCAGGCTCACTCTGTGGCCCAGGCTGGAGTGCAGTGGCACGATCACAGCTTACTGCATCCTCGAACTCCTGGGCTCAAGTGAGCCTCCCTTCTGAGTAGCTGGGACTACACGCATGTGCCACCATGCCTGGCTAATTTTTTTTTTTTGTAGAGGCGAGGTCTCGCTATGTTGCCCAGGTTGGTTTCGAACTCCTGGGCTCAAGCAATCCTTCCACCTTGGCCTCCCAAAGTGCTGAGATCATAGATGTGAGACCCTGAGCCAGGCCCAAGGTGTGCATTCTTTTTTTTTTTTTTTTTTTGAGTCAAAGTCTCACTCCATCGCCCAGGCTGGAGTGCAGTGGCATGATCACAGCCACCCCAGCGTCGACCTGCTGGGTTCAGGTGACCCTTCTGCCTCAGCCTTCCATGTAGCCGGAACTACAGGTATGTGCTACTGCGCCCAGCTAATGTTTTGATTTATTGTAGAGATGAGGTCTTGCCAAGTTGCCCAGGATGGTCTCGAACCCTTGGTCTCAGGCAATCTACCTACCTCGGCCTCCCAAAGTGCTGGGATTACAGGCTGAGCCCCTGTGCTTTCTTGACAGGAGCAATGTCTTTCTTTTGGCCCCCTTGACAGCTGTGGAGGGTGAGGGTCTGAGCAGTAGAAACCTCGTCCTGCTTTCTGATGGCATGCATCCACCCTAGGACTAAACTCTGAGAACAACATAGATCCACTGGTTTGCTCCCACCCCCACTGCAGTATTTGCCAAGCCAGACCTCCCACTTGAGACAAAGGCTCCTTCCTCCTCCTCTCCCCGCTGGTGGCCAGCACACAGGAGGCCCTGTGGGAAGGCAACTGCCCGGCACCCTCCCACATGAGGCAGGGATGAGTCCCTCCTTCCCTAGCCCTCCAAGAGCCAAGAGCCAGAGATCCGGAAGCCCTTTGTTCTAGTCACGCCTGATGATAAGAACACATTTTATGGCAACAATTGTACATATCATATAAATATATTTGTCCAAACTACAGATAGAGGGGAAGGCTTTAGGGGAAGCTCTTATTGCTGTGGGGAGACCTGGAGAGGGAGGAGGGCTGGGACATGGGGACACCTCAGACCACCTGATCCCCCCATCCCTCACAGAAGGCACAAATACATTATTTCTTTCCTTGTGAGGAACGGGGTGGGGGGTGGGCAGGAGACAGAGTACAGGGATCCTCAAAAATACAAAAGAAACCTCCACACTTAATATCTAAGGCTAGGGAAGAGGCCGGGGTGGGTGCGGAAGGCAATGAGGGAACGGAAAGAGGAACCGAGGGGGCTGAGAACCGAAGGGGACCTGAGAGGTCATGATGTCCATGCTGTTCCTCCATGCAGGCCCCAGAGAAAACTCAGGCAAACATACATAAGCCCCACGTGGGGGAGGATGGGTGCCCCAGGAACAGCTCTGGGGCATCAGCGAGGGATGTGGGTGTGAGTGTGTATGCGGTGGCTGTGTGAGGATCAGAAGCAACCAGGGCTGGGAGTGGATGATTCTATTCCCACAGGGGAAGCCTCCTCCATCCCGGTTCCTCCAAAACTGCTTTCAGGGGGTCAATTCGGCCACTGCTTCTGAGAAGGACCCCTGCCTGGGACAAAAAAGCCAGGGAGGAGAGGATGAGGTGAGAAAGCTTGGGATGAAAACAGGGCACACAGAAGCGGCTCTCAGGGAAGAGTATCATGGAGCCCAGTGTGATGGAAAAAAGGCAAGGGGCCTAAGTGTACATCTGTGCATGAGTATGTGTGTGTGTGTGTGTGTGTGTGTGTGTGTGTGTGTGTGTGTGTGTGTGTACGTGTGCTGGCGGGGAGGGTGAGATCACTCAAAGGTGAAGGGGTCCTGGGTGCTGAAAAAGAAGTGTCCATCCATGTGGTCCTCCAGGGCATCCTTGTCACTCTCAGCAGGGAAGCGCTCCTTACAGATAGGACACTCCTTCCATGGGGGAGTGGCAGGGCCCCCAGTGCTGGCCTCTGACAGGGGACCCACTGCAAAGCCACTGAAGAGAGACAGAGGGGAAAAGGACAGGGTCGCTGCGCTCTGTTGCCTTCTTGACTTGCAGACCTCGGGAAGCGGGAGTTGTGCGCCTGGGTTCCCCGGGTATCTTGTTCCTACTGAGCATCTGGGAGCTCCTCTCCCCGCCTCTCCTGCCCCATCTCTCTCCCCACAATGCCGGAAGCTTTCATTTTCCAGTTCCCCATGTCCTCTCTCCTTTAGTCCCTGCTGGTCTCTGCAGTGCAGGGCCCATCCCCCACCTCCTGCTCTCCTCCCTCCATCTCCGTCTGCTGCCTAATGAGGCCGAAAATGAGTCTGACATCGTCCTTCATCTTCCTGCTCCAGCCGAGAAGGATGACAGCATCACCCCATCACTCCCTCCCTGCCCCGAGCCCATCTCACATCCAGGCAAAGCTGGAGCCCAGATGAAGAAATCTCTCTTGCCTGTGCCTGCCCTCTTGACCCAGGGAAGAAAGGAAGGCAGGAGGAGGCAATCTGGGACCCAGAGCCCCGCCCTGTAGGTTCCCTCCGTAAGGGTCCCCGGGGGAAGTCAGGGAAGAGGGACAGCATCTCAGGCCTGGTCGGATGGATGCTCCTCCTATCCCTGGGGATCCTGGTCACCTCCCTCCTCCCACGAGGAGCCTAGGTACCTACCTGGTGGTTGGGGAAAGGGTAGGGGCAGGAGAGAGGGGATGCAGGGCAATTTGGGCTCCGCGGAAGATGGTGCTAGAACAACACAGAAGCCAGTGAAAGGCAGGACCTCTGAGTTCACTGATAACACAGGGGAGGGATAACCTGAAGGTAGCTGGGATTCAGCAGTGAGTAATTTACTGTGTCAACCATACTTGTGTCTCCTTTTCTTGGTGGAGGCCAAGACGAGGGTACTTGGAGTAGGGCATGGTGACTGTTCACATGGACACCCTTCCCCCGGCTTCCTCCTACCTCCGTCCTGTCCGCCTCAGCTTTACTCACCTGGCCATGTCATAGAAGGTGTTGCCCAGTTCAGGAAGCAGCAGGTTGGCTTCCTCACCCCCGCTCTGCACAGCTGCCATCAGGACCGACTTCTCATCTTCAGCCTCCTGGGCACCAAAGAGACAGGGTTGGGTTTTGGGGTGGCGTCCCAAAATGGGGGAGCAGCACTTGGGGATGGCTAAGGCTGGGACAGTGACCTGAGGAGCTGTAGGAAGAGCGAGGCAGGACAGGCATTTTGGTGGGCTGGTGGATAAAAAGGAAATAACCGTGGGGGAGAAGCAGGGGGGCTGCTGTGCTAGGTGGGGTTATCTGCTGGTGGCCCTGAAGAGAGGCTGGGCCTGCCTCCTCTTCTCCAAGCAAAATAAAGCCCTGGATGGCTAGGACCCTGCTCTGGGGGTTGAGTCACCTGAGTTTGGCCCTCCTCTTCCCAACCCCCTCAGCTCACCGAGTCAGAGCTACTGTCTTCGGTGGGTCCTGAGAGGTGGGGGGCGATGGGAGCCGGCTGGCTGATGACCACGAGGGGAGAAGCCTCTCGGGGCCCGGCGGGAGAGGAGCCTGGGTCTCCATGCTCACACAGACCATAGGGCGGGAGCCTCATGTCTTCTGGAGACTCGTCCTCCGAGTCTGTCAGAGCTGCTGGGCCGTCTGTAGGAGGGAAAACAGGCAAAAAGGGAAGGGTGCGCTGGAGGAGGGTTGGATCACCTTTCTCCTCTGATTGAGAGACACTGTTGACTAAAGGGAGCTGAGAGCCAGGAAGGAAAAGGCCAAACACACAGAAGACAGAGAGGCAGCTCCCGGAAGAGTCAGTCACACAGAGCTTTCCTCGATAGAGGCAGGGGAGTGGGGGAGAGGAATCACAAGACTGGGGGGTACAGACTCAGCCCCGCAGCGGCCTCCTCGTCCTCTGTGGCAGTGTCCTCATTCCACTTCTCATCTGCCACCTTCTCCAGGCGGGCCTCCAGCTTTCTCATGTACTCCAGCAGTTCCTGGAATTGGGGAGGAAAGAAGCAGGTGCTAGAGTCTGGGAAGACACTTCCAGGGCTGCGGAGCCCTTTCTTGCGCCCAAAATGAACTCCCAGTTCCTCAGGAGAGGTGCCTTCACCAAAGGTGGGGCAGCCCTTCCACAGTAGCCCTCCTTCACCCTCTCACCCCTCCTCCCAGCGATACTCCCCCGTCTGCCAAACTAGCTGACAAGAGGGCCAGGTTCCATTTTTAGCCTCCAGGCCCTCTTAGAGACACCAGTTTTTTTCTTTTTTCTTTTTGAGTTGGGGTCTCACTCTGTCGCCCAGGCTGGAGTGTAGCGGCACGCTCCCGGTCACCACAGCCTCAACCTGCTGGGCTCCGGCGATCCTTCTGCCTCTGCCTTCCAAGTAGCTGGAACTACAGGCGCACGCTACCACACCTGGTTAATTTTTGATTTATTGTAGAGACAAGGTCTCGCCAAGTTCCCCAGGTGGGTCTTGAACCCTCAGGCTCAGGCAACTCACTCACCTTTGCCTCCCAAATTACTGGATTACAGGCTGAGTCACTGAGCCCGGCTGAGACACCAGTTTTAAGCCAAGAGACGACAACAGTTTACAAAGTTTCTGGCCCTCAAGTCCTAACCAGGCATCCACAGGGCCTGAGTTCTGGGCTCTCACCTGCTTCTCCTCCTGCAACTGCTCCTTTTCCTTCTGGAGCACACGCAGGGCTGATCGCAGCTCTGTCAGCTCCCGCTTACTCTCTGACAGTTGCACCTGGGGAAGAGGGCTGGATGGAATCTGGTGCCTAGAATATACCTCCAAGAACCGGAACTTTGGAACTGGACGAATCTAGACCTGGCCTTCCCATGCCTCTGCTCCTCTCCTGCTTCGACACACACCGGGGATATCCTGTCACTCTGTCTCCATGCATCCCTTGTCTTGGCCATCTGCGTCCTAGTCTCTGACTCGTGAGTGTGGCCCTGGATGACTGCCTCCAGGCTGAGGTGTGGCGGCCTTGGGCCTACAAGGGGGCACTCTGTAGTTCTCCTAAGTCACCTGCGCCAGCCCCAGATGTGTGTCCTGAGAGCAGAAAGGAACACCGCACATTTAAAGCCCATAAGGGCTGTGGGCTGTGAGTGAGATGTGGGCACTGAGTACTTCTGAGTCCACACCCAGGGCACTGGGTGAGAAAAGGGGCACTGATGTCTCGATGGGCCTCAGGACAGAACATGTCATAGCTGGGTGGCTCACCAGGCTAGAGTCCTTTTCCCGGCCCAATTCGGTCTTCAACACTTGACTCTGGGTCCTCTCCTCCTGAACTGCCTTCTCCAGGCGAAGTATCTCTGCACTCAGTTTCAGGATCTTGTCCTTCTCTGCCTGGAAGACAGCCACAGAGAAACATGGGAGGGTGGAGGGGAAGGGAAAGGGATGCCACTGGCAATGGTGCCACCCCTCACCATGTCTCTTCCTTTATTTGTTTTTGGAGCCATCTTTCCTTTTTGCCTTTCTCATTGCCTATACCCTGAATGAAGGACGGGACATGACAGCAAGGTGCTATGCTGATGAGGAGTGGGCACTGTGGCAGGGCCTGATGCCTAGGACAGAAAATGTTTCTGTACCAGGGAAGGTGCTATGGCGACTGGGACTGGGTGACGTGGGCGAGGATGACTCGTGCCTAGAAGGTAAGGAGCTCCCTCTGAGCTCCTCCCCACCTGTCCCAAGGGTCTGGCCATATGTAGGAGTCCCCACAGAGGTCCCCAACCCTCTACCTCCACACTCTGCAGCAGCCCTGCCCGCTCCTTGCTCCACTGGCATTTTTCCTCCTTCAAGTGCAAACTGAGCTCAGCTAGCCTGCCACTGACTTCGGCCACCTCCAGGCGGCTGCGGTGAAGCTCGGCTATGGTGCGGTCCCGGGCTGCCGCTGCGCTGGCCAGCTCCTCCCCGAGCAGGGCGGCCTTTTGCTGGCTGGAGGCTGCAAGTTCCTGGGCCCCTCGAAGCTGCTCCTTCAGGGGCTCCAGCTCAGCCTTGGGAGAGAGGAGGAGACAGAGGTCAGAGTTTCCAGCAAATCATCTGTCCACCAGGGAGGTAGCAGGCTCCCTTCTCCCCTCACCACACTGGGCTCGGTATTGTGTAGTCTAGCCTTTGTGTAGTCTATGTCTTTTCCCTTCTCTCTGGCCGTCCAGACGCTTCCACCATTACCCCTTGGAACCTCCACCGCTTCCTGCTGCCTAGAGACCGTCACTTACCACCCGCTGCTGGGCCTGCCCTAGTGTGTCCTTCATCTGGGCCACCTTGTCCTTCAGTCGCTGGGCCTGGGCACCCTGTTCCTCTTGTCGACCCTTGGCCTCCTGCAGCTCCAAATTTAAGCGACGGTTCTCCTGTTGTGCCATTTGGAGCTCAGCCTGATGGACAAGCAGGTAAGGAAAGGGGTGGCCAGATGTCAAGATTCCACTTCTGAGATGTAACACATGCTCAATGGTCACCCCTTGCCAGCCCTCCTTGGGTTCTCAGCCTGAAGGCGATCAATCCCGAACATCCAGTCTCCAGCTCCCGAAATGAGGGCTCTAGCATCTGGGGTCTTACCTGTCGGCATTCCACAACCCATTTCTGCTTCTCCACTCTTTCCCTAAATCAAAACTTGGTCTGCGCATCCTGTAGGCCCCTTGAGCTCAGCACACGCCACCTCCCACCTCTCCCCGGCACTTTCTACTCTTCTTTCTTTCTTTTTTTTCTTTTGAGTTGGAGTCTCACTGTCGCCCAGACTGGAGTGCAGTGGACGCTCCCAGCCACCGCAGCCTCGACCTGCTGGGCTCCGGCAATCCTTCCGCCTCAGCCTTCCAAGTAGCTGGAACTACAGGCGTGTGCTACCATGCCCGGCTCATTTTTGATTTATTGTAGAGATGAGGTCTCGCCAAGTTGCCCAGGCAGGTCTCAAACCCGCGGGCTCAGGCAATCCACTCACCTCAGCCTCCCAAAGGGATTACAGGCTGAGCCACCGAGCCCAGGTTCTACTCTTATTTCTGACCATGGTACTAACTACCGCCCAAGTCACCCGGTTGGATCCTGTGACGCCATGCTTGGCTCTTATCTTCTCCTTGTGGTTTACAGAAAAGCCTATTGCCTTGCTATCTTCCATCCTGGGCACAGCCATGTTCTCTTTTCTATCCTTACCACAACCACATTAGCTCAGGCTCTGGTCATCTCTTGCTTTACCTACTGAATAATCTCATAACTAGCTCATTTTCCAAAAGGCAATCAAGGCTAATTTGAAAAACAGTTCTTTTAAAAAAAAATTTTGTAAAAACAGCAGCAAACTTTTTTTTTTTTTGAGTTAGAGTCTCACTCTGTCACCTAGGCTGGAATGCAGTGGCATACTCATGGCCACCTGGGTGTCAACCTGTTGGGCTCTGGCGATTCTTCCGCCTCAGCCACCCAAGTAGTCAGAACAAGTGCACACTACCATGCCCGGCTAATTTTTTATTTATTGTAGAGATGAGGTCTTGCCAAGTTGCCTTGGTTGGTCTTGAGTCCGTGGGCTCAGACAATCCACTTGCCTCCGTCTCCCAAAGTACTGGGATTACAGGCTGAGCCACCAAGCCTGGCTGCAACAAACTTTTTAAGAGATGGGTTTCACTCTGTCACCCAGGCTGGAGTGTAGTGGCATGATCCTAGTTCATTAGAACTCATGGGCTCAAGCAATCCTCCCACCTCAGACCCCAGAGTAGCTGGGACTACAAGCTTGGGCAACCGTGCCTTGCTAATGTTTTTTCATTTTAGATTTTCTTAGAGATTGCATCTTGGTACGTTGCCCAGGATGGTCTCGAATTCCTGGCCTCAAGTGATCCTCCTGCCTCAGGCTCTCAAGTTGCTGGGATTACAGGCTCAAGCCACCATGTCTGGCTTTAAGTATACCCCTACTTGAAAATCATCAAAGCCTCTCACTGCCTAAAGAATAAAGACTAAACTCAGCCGGGCTTGGTGGCTCAGCCTGCAATCCTGCGCCTTTGGGAGGCTGAGGTGAGTGGATTGCCTGAGCCCGCGGGTTTGAGACCCGCCTAGGCAACTTGGCGAGACCTCAT